ATATATATACTTAACCATTATTTTAACAATACAGAAACTTTGCTATTTTATCTGAGAGTTCTTTCACACTCTGCTTATTGACTCCTTTGGTAAAAAGACACAATGTTAAAGCAGAAGTTCTGAGGATTTGACTTGCTGCAAAGCTTCGCAGACTGGGACACTCTTCCTCTGATTCCTCTATTTTGGCAAGATTCTCACCTTAGGGTCTTTCTTGTAGATGGTGAGAATTCACATTCTTCTTAGAACTCGCCCCCCACCCCGGTTTTCATCAACACCTGAAAACCAGCAAAAACAACTCACTTCTTACTTGTCAGGTGTAAATTATATTCTTAGCAGGTTAACACCACTGTGCAAGGGGGTTGGATAGTAAAAGTCCCATCCATGCACCTGCCTCTCCAGGAAGTGGGTCCCAGATAAGGCTACAATCAATCTCAAGAACAAAGCAATTAAATATTGATATAGGTAAAAGTGGTAGTGTGCATACCCTGCACCCTTTTGAGGAGGGCATCATAGCCTGTTAGTGACCCAAAACTCAGGGCATCAAAAGCTCTGAGAATCTGTATTATAGTTTGGACATGGACTGTCCCACAAAGCCCTGTGTGTTAAAGGTTTGGTCCCAGATAGGTGCCACTGGCAGCAAAGCCATCAGTAAGTAGGACCTAGTAGGAGGTCTTCAAGTCATTGGAGATGTTCCTTTGCAGAGGATATGGAGGCCTCAGCCCCTTCCTCATCCTCTGTTAATTCACTTCCTAGACATGAGGTAAGCAGTTGTGCTCTATTACTTGCTCCCTACAGCTGCTGTTGGGCCCTCCTATCAGAGGCCTAAAAACAGGAGTCAACCTGATTTTGCACTGACATCTCTAAAACTGAGCCAAAGTAAACATTTTCTCTTCATAAGTTGATAATCTACTTGGTATAGCAATATAAAGCTGACACAACCTGGGAAGCTCAATTTGTGCCAGGAAACAGGGTGTTGCCCATCTCAACCGAGGAATAGCACACCTTAAGACATTTAAAAGTTTAAGAGAAAACTAGTTTAAAGGATATTAATACTGAGTCATTAAAGGTAGTTCTGTTGTTTATACTTCACAAAACAAAGTATATTTAATATATAGAATCAATAACAAAATATTCTGTAAACTGCTAGTTAAACTGGAACCTACTGACTGATTGCTCTAAATTGACTTTTGGTTTTCTATAAATACTGTCATGTCACACTGTTATTGGAGTTCTCAGAAGGTGCTCTAGTTCTGCAAGTTTCCCGGTTGGCAAATTTATTTTGTTCTGTTTTGCTCAAATAAACTCTACTAACTTTAGTTGGTCCAACAAATTTTCCTTTCAATAATACTCTCTCATCATATGAAAATGATTTTATAAATATTTCATAGGGGTAGAAAATTCAACTTTTCTGTAACATGGTTAATCAAGATTAACTTCTTATGCAATTTAGGGAAGTTTATTTCAGCTTTCTAATGTAATATTGATAATGTCATCTTTCTGATTGTTTTCAAATTTGTAAGGACCAGGGCTAGGGATTTAGCTCAGTGGTTTCACCACTGCCTTGTAAGTGTAAGGACCCAAGTTTAATCCCTGGTACCAAATTTATAAGGGCCACTAATAGGTGTCTGCTAAGGCATTGATGAGCAAACCAAATCCTTACCTGGTATTTTTACAAGCTTAATGATTAGAATAATTTTCCACAGATTAGTGTCTGGCCCATATATATCAAGCCTTGTTTCTTCTCCACATACATATTTTTTTGTGGTAGGCATTGTACAGGTTGAGCATCCTTAATCTGGAAATTTGAAATGGTCCATAATCAGAAACTTCTTGAGTGCAATGATACCACAAGTACAAAATTCCTCAGCTGACATGTGATAGGTTGAAGTTAAAATGCAGAGTAAAAATACTGCACATGAAATTACCTTAAGACAATGCATATAAAATATACTGTATATGAAACATAAATGAATGCTGTGTTTAGATTTGATTACTATCCCCAAGATATCTTATTATATATATGCAAACATCCCAAAATCTGAAAGTATATGAAATCTGAAGCATGTCTGATCTCAAGCATTTTAGACAAGAAAAAAAAAAAAGCATTTTAGACAGAGAACTATCAACCTGGGCAGTAGCATGCAAAGGTTAGTTAGGCGCAGTCAGTAGAAAGAATATTCTTGGAAATCAATGCTATAACACTATGGTTAGTGATAATACATGGAAGCCATTGTAAACATAAGTATATCTCACAAAACAAATATTAACTTATCCATACTCTAAACCTCCTATAGCCATTTTAACACCAATGATAAGAAGGGAGGCCAATAGAAAGAGTAACTGGTTTTAACTGGTGTGTAAAACCCTTTTGTACATGTATGAATTTTACTAAAATATACAGTGGCCCCTGGGTTTATCACTGCGATTGGTTCCAGATGGCTGGCTGTAATTTAAGTTGGTTGTAAGTCAATACAGCTGAGACCTGGAGTTTACCTGGGTACACACTATAGATAACAAGAGGCAGATGAATCTTCCATTAATCTATTTAATCCAAGTTGTTTGTCAGGCCAGTCGTGACTTGAGGGTCTGCTATATATGATCACATGAACACAAGCCAAGGGCTGCCTTGGAAGGAAGCTGTGCAAATTAGAAATGCTAGTGGCTAAGGGGGTAACAAATATTGCACTGATCATCTAAATACAATGGTAATGTCTTTTAGAGCTACAAAATCAATCAAAATACAGGACAAAACCTAGTGAGGAAACTTTTGATGATTTTAGATTTCTGACACATTTTTAAGTAAGTAAAGATCTAGTTTACGGAGATTTACTCTTCTGGCTCAACAGCGTGAGGAGCTCTACAAGCAATTCCTCAAAGAAACTAGTGAGCTGTATCCAAAACAAACAATAAACAAAAATCCCATTGAAAGTGTCCAGAAATGGTCCTAAAGACACACAGAAAATGAAGAAACATTATAAAAACCCCTAAAACTTCATAAGAACAATGATATTTAATATCTGCCACTTCTTCTCTTCCTTCCCAGCTCGGTGAGACAGGATTTCCACTCCAAAGCAATACATCCAAGAGCACAGGCTCCCTCTCTCACAACTAGACCTTGGAGGGCTACTTTCCTGGAAGAAGGAGCATTTCTTTTCCTACTTCTATTACCTGTTGCTGAAGCTAAGCTCCGGGTGAGTGTGTCTGAAAGCAGGCAGGGTTTCTCCTCTGTCCATCACCCCTATTGAGATGGAGGCCTGAAATAGCACCACTGGGAATACTGAGAATACCTTGCTTTCCTTTTCAAGATTGTTTTGGCTGTTCTGGGTCACTTGCATATCTATTAATTTTATTAACTGTAAGATCATTTTACCAATTCCTATGAAATTGATGAGACTTTGATGGGGATTATGTTGAATCTGTAGACCCATTTGAGGAATGTTATCATCTCAACAATACTTTTTTTCAATCCACAAATATGGAATATTGTTCCATTTAAATTCTTTAAATTCTTTCAGCAATATTGCATAGTTTTCACTTATTTTGATAAATTTATTTCCAAGTATTTTATTCTTCTTAAAAGTATTTTAAATAAAAATTTGTTTGAGGCCCTGGGGATTTTGCACTGAGCTACACACCCAACTCTTCAAAACAATTTTTTTCTTTAAGATAAAATTTCCCAGTCACTAAAATTTCCCAAGCTGGGTTTGTCCTTGTTATCCTCATGCTTCAGCCTCGCAAAGTAATGGAATTACAAACTTGTATCACCATGCCCACCTGTAAATGGAATTCTTAATTTCATTTTTAAAGTGTTCATTGCTAGTTTATAATAATATTGATATATGTATATCTTTTCCTTCAACCTTAACTCATTTATTCTACTACTTTTATAGTAAATTCTTTAGGGGTTTCTATATATAATGATCTTATGTGGAGACATTTTACATTCTTTTTTTTTGGTACCAGAGATCGAACTTGGAACCTTGTGCTTTCAAGGCAGGAAGCGGAACCACTGAGCTAACTCCCCAGCCCTGACATTTTACCTTCTTGAACATTTTAATCTTTACTGCTATTGGAAATTCTAAAAATTGTATCTTATGTGCTCAGTTATTATGCAGATAAGTACAGTAGGTGATGAATAAAAGATTTTCAAGAACAGAAAATACCACATTTAGGTAAATTTTCACATAGTGGAAATGAGATCATGCAAAATATTCTATTAAAGCAAAGCTTGTACATTAGTTTAAAAATCGATGATTGTAAATATCAAATTTTCTGGTCTTTAGACATCGGCTAGTTATGTAACTTTTATTTTAAAATGCCATCCTTTCAAATTATTTAAGTCAGATGAAAAATTTTGGTGGTCATTCTAAAACACAGGCAGTTCACGGCTAATTTTTTTTTTATTCTTTTAGGGGCTCTATGAACAAAATTGATAGAGAAATGCTGTAGAGAAATGCAATGATACAGGCCCTTGCCTGCCTCCACCCCCCGCACCAATGTCTTGTTTTGGAAGTGTGAATTTGTGCTGCAGTGCTCCTGACCAATGTATCAAAATGGTTTGTGACTGAACTGTGCAACCTTTCAGGAATATTCTATTAAGCTCTGTCCCCTCACAAGAAGGTTCTGTTAAGCTCATCCTCTTCTCTGGAATGTTCTGTAACTCTTCCCCTCTGCTTCAGGAATGTTCTGTAACTATCCCCTGCTTCAGTGAGCATGCTCACCTACCCTGTAGATCCCTATATAAGGAGGCTCTCATTTCTGGTAGAGTGCTCAGATTCCTCTTAGTCCGCTGGGGATCAATGTCATAATAAAGGGTTGGTTTTTTTGTTTTTTTTGGGTTTTTTTCTCCTCTACCTCTTCAACTGATCATTGGATTCTTGAGTTTTCAAATTATGAGCACTGCATTCCAGAGCTGCCACACTGAGCTGTAAAGCTCAGCTCTGCCTTAGAGCTGTGGCACTTGGCTGTGATGCTGAGCTGTAACACTGGGCTACCGCACCTAGCTCCTCTGCTCTGCTGCAAGAAAGTCATCTGAAATTCCTGTATCGATGTATACCTCCCCGATAGGTTTTGCTTTTTATGACTACTTTTGAGACGACCTCCAATTTTCAATTTTACCCCACTCCCACTGTGTATTATTTAATAGTTTCCATCAATTAATTTGATTAAGGGGAGGAGAAATGCATCTGGCTCAAGTCACTGCCATCCTCAGTCACTTAACTAGATTTCAAGAATCAGGACACTACAGAAAGATCTTTTTGAAAGTCAAGCCTTTTCAAGAGTATAAATTATAGCATTTTACTAATTTTAAATAACTTTTTCTTTTCCCTTTTAGCATTTCATAACCCTTAGTCATATTGACGCAGGATCTTTAGAGTCAGAAATTTAACAAAGTTTGGTGGACACTTTGCAGCTGACCCCAAGATCCTACAGTATAGTCACAAAGGCTGCGTTCCAGAATTACTGATCAGCTTTTGTTGTCCCAGATTCGTTCCAGAGCTGTTCTCCCTCTAGCGACCGCAGGCCCTCACTGGCCTTGACTCTTGTGTTGGGCAGAGCCTCACGTTCCAGGCAGGAGAGGCACTGTGCGCGCAAGCGCGGGGCAGCCGACGTGTCGCAGAGAGACCCCGGTAAGGGGTCCGGGCAGAGTTTGCTATTTAGTAGGTTCTGGGCCTCCCGCCTCCACTCCTCTCTTTCCCTTAAAGTTTCACAGGGGCTTCTAGGTTCGAAGCGGACTGACGTCCTCCTGGGCGCCACTCAGAAGGTCAGAGCGCACAGAACACAGCCTGGGCCGGCTGCCGAGAACGAGTCCGTGGGGAGGGCGCCCGTGGGCGTCACG